ATGGCTTATGAAACATTGAATTTTAGTAGAACAAAAGAACTGTTTAAAGTCCTCTACCTAGTAAAATCTGCACTACTGTATGAGATATCTATAGATATATATAATACATACACGCTGTCTTACGGTAACGACCCATTAGCTTCCAGAACGAAGAAAGATATAAGAAATTTTCCTCGGAATTTTCGAAACGCTTGTATCTGTCAAAATTTTTATAAAATCGATCGATATCGATTAGATATCTCGAAAACAGTTAAATGTAGTTACAAGGAAGCCTCGAAGAAAGCTTTAACGTTTCCTACTTTTCCATTTAAAATAACAAAGTTGGCAGCTACTTTCGGTATAACCGGAAGTGCAACAATACCTAAATTGTCAAAATTAACATCGAAGCAATCTCTGAAATATTCTAATGGGCCGGTACCGTAAGACAGCATGTATGTGTCAATTTTTTTACTATGGTCTAATTCACCAATAATTGCCATTATACAGGGTGTCCCTGAAAAGGATGAACAACGCTTGACCACAGGTTCCTTGGATGAAATTAAGACTATTTAGCCTAATTTACCCATATACAAAAGTGCACGCCTACTGAGATATAGCCCTTCTAAATATAGAACAAATTACCTAGGTTTTTTTTCAAATAATTTGAAAACTATTTTTCTTAGGAACTTCAAATTAAAATTGTTGTTAATTTATACTTCATTTTCCGATAAACACCATGTTTTTTGCAGCTGTGGAAAATAGTGTATTGGAAAAACGTCTTTGCATACATTTTTACCTGTACCAATAGTTGCCACTATTTTTAACCACTAATTGACATGTTTGAGGGAAGGTGGGAAATTCTGAATACTTTAAAGATATTTTTAACCATATTTTTTTACCACATAGGTATAATTTATACTTTAAACAATCAAATAAAGTCAAATTAAGGATATACCTATTGAATTATTTATGTAATTTTTGCCTCGAATTAAGTACTTAAAGAAAATTGTTCCTTTCAAGTAAATATTCTGAACTTATGAACATTCATAGGCCAGGAAAAAGAGCTGGGAAATGACCATTTCGCGACTTTTTGTTTCGGTAAGCTGAATTTATCACTATAGATGCTAAATATTATGTACAATAACATATTAGTTTACACAGTCATAAAAATGGGGGGAAGTTTGTTTACAGGGTGGTTAATTGTATAATTTTTACGTAAATTCACGTTTTTCGCTTATAACTTTTTTCAGTTCATTCCCACGAGAAAACAGTACGGTATTTTTTTTCGTCTTCAAAAGACCTACAAAACTAGCCCTCGAGCCTCAAAAAATATTGATTAGATCAAAAGTTATAAACAGATGAAGTTTATTTATGACTTTTGAATTAAACATTTATAAACGGCGTTATTATTACCAGAACGTTTTGGCATCGCATCCTCTCATTCCTTATCAATGTCTAATAACTCACTCGAAATCTGGGATCGGTAAGTTGAATAGTTTACAAGTTATGGCCTTGTAAACAAATTAACTAATTATTAGTCCGGACGATCCCGAGCATCTTCCACAATCGCATTGATTTTTTTCATGGTAGATTTCATAATAATACATTGAAATCTATCATTTTTTTTTTAATTTCAAATTTGCAACCTGGAATTTTTTTTGCAAAATGAAATATACCACGTACGCGCGTGATATAGTCATATAATATTACATATTCGGAAAGCTTCTCAAAAGAGCTTTAAGTTAAAAAAAAAATCGTCAAGATTCGTTGAAAAACAACGGAGTTACACACTGTCAAATTTATTATTTTCAAGCGAATTTCGCTTTTTTAACGGCAGGACTATGAATATTATCGTAATTTTCTTCGGACTTGCTGTCGTTCGCTTCCACCACCCTTCCCCCGCGTCACGGCTCGCCAAAAAATCAAGCTACCCTCTGACTTTTAACAATATTTCTTATGCACTTAACATACTTCCACAAATAAAATATCTTTATCTGGGAAAGTACTCGGGTTGCCGGTTATGTCAGTATTTTTTTTGCCACTACCAACCGTATTTGTTTAACTATAAGCCGTCAACTTTGACAGTCTGTAATTCCGTTGTTTTTCAACGAATCTTGACAATTTTTTTTAACTTAAAGTTCTTTTCATAAGCCTTCCGAATATGTAATAATACATAACTATATCACGCGCGTGCGTCGTATATTTCATTTTGCAACTAAGGTTAAAGAATAAAAATAATTTCCAGGTTGAAAATTTGAAATTTAAAAAAAAAAATATTGATTTCACTGTGCTATTATGAAATCTACCATGAAAAAAATCAGTGCCATTGTGGAAGATGCTCGGGATCGTCCAGACTAATAATTAGTTAATTTGTTTATACAATAAGCCGTAACTTGTAAACTATTCAACTTACCGATTCCAGATTTCGTGCGAGTTATTAAACAGTGATAAGAAATGAGAGGTTGCGATGCCAAAACGTTCTGGTAATAATAACGCAGTTTATAATTGTTTAATTCAAAAGTCATAAATAAACTTCTTCTGTTTATAACTTTTGATCTAATCAATATTTTCTGCCGCGCGAGGGCTAGTTTTGTAGGTCTTTTGAAGACGAAAAAAAGTACTTTAGGTACTGTTTTCTCGTGGAAATGAACGGAAAAAAGTTATAAGCGAAAAACGTGAATTTACGTAAAAATTATACAATTAACCACCCTGTAACCAATCTTCCCCCCATTTTTATGACTGTGTAAACTAATATGTTATTGTACATAATATTTAGCATCTATAGTGATAAATTCAGCTTGCCGAAACAAAAAGTCGCGTCCAACTCTGCAGGGTGTTAAAATAAAAGAGTGTAAAATATTTAAGGAGGTAATAGTATGAATCAAAATAAGCAGAAAAGTCTCAATAAACATGGGTCCGCAAAGTAACGGTTGCGGAGATATGGAATGTTTTATGTTTTTTAGCCCCTTTTTTTATTTTGCAAAAACGTTGTGTATTTTCTTATAATAGTTGGTTGATGTTTAGTGAAATAAACAGTACGTATTTGACAGTTGTTCTCAGTGCACAAGTTTTCTTTCGCTATGGCTGGTTACTCTAACGCAGAATTAACAGACATGCATTTCATGTATGGTCGTGCTAATGGGAACGCGACGTCTTTATGTTGACGCTTATCCAAATCGCCAGATTCCTTACAACGCATGTTTGGAAGAATTCACCAAAGATTGCGTGATACCGGTTCCTTGAGCAAACAGTGCCATTTATCCGGAAGACCAAGGTCGGTATCCACTCCTAATCCACTCCTAGAGCAGAAGAAGAAATTCTAGCACTGGTAGAGCAGAATCCAGGTACGAGTGTGCGGAGAATATCAGCCGAGGTAGGAATTAGTGGTCCTCTTGTTTGGAGAATCCTTCAGGAGCAACTGCTTTATCCATACCATGTGCAACGAGTACAGGCCTTAAATCCAATAAATGATCATCAAGCACGTTTGTTTTTTTACCGCTGGTTTCTACGTCATGATGCTGAAGACCCTAGTTTTCTTGCAAACATTCTTTTTACTGATGAGGCCGGGTTCACAAGAAATGGAGTGTTTAATTTTCACAATACGCACATTTGGGCCGACGAAAATCCTCATGCTCTAATAGAATCTGGACATCAGGCACGTTTTTCATTAAACATTTGGATGGGTATTGTAGGTGACAGGTTTCTAGGTTCTGTTGTTTTACCAAACCGATTAACAGGCGCTGCTTACCTCAACTTTCTGCAGAACACACTGTATGAGTTTTTGGAAGACATTCCTTTGAATCAGAGGCAACAAATGTGGTTCCAGCATGATGGTGCTCCAGTTCATTTTTCCATGGCCATTAGAGAGCATTTACACCAAACTTTTTCACATAGATGGGTAGGAAGGGCCGGACCTGTTTTATGGCCTCCAAGATCGCCTGATCTGAACCCTCTAGATTTCTTTGTTTGGGGATATTTGAAGACAGTGTATGGTACTCCTGTAAATAGCCTGGAAGAGCTGCAGCTACGAATTAATCAAAAGTGTCAAGAAATCCAAACCAAGGAGGGTGTTTTTGAAAGAGTTCGAATATCGTTGAGACGAACATGTCGTGCCTGCTTGGAAATGGACGGAGGGCACTTTGAACATCTTCTGTAACTTTGTTTTTTGTTTGTTAAAAGCTTCCTTTGTCGGTTTATTCCTAATAAAATAAAATGTTTGAGAAACGAATAGTGGTCCATATCTCCGCAACCGTTACTTTGCGGACCCATGTTTATTAAGACTTTTCTGCTTATTTTGGTTCATACTATTACCTCCTGACATATTTTACACTCTTTTTTTAACACCCTGTATATTTCCTGGCCCATTCAGGTATATTGCTAACATTAACGATAAGTTTTCACAGTTACGAAATTAGCTATTTTCTATAGCAAATTTCGTTTTTATACTTATATGTTTTTTTATGATACTCCCAGAATGCGAAATTTATTTTGATTGTTTTTGTGACGCCTCTAGAAAGTTAGATTTTATTTTACTTTTCGCGACAAAATTTCAGCATTCTAACATAAAACTAGGTGATCATTACAAGGATTTTGCATCTATTTCTTGTAAGAGAGTTTCAAACTGACATGAAGTCAAATGATTCAAATGATTAACTGTAGGTGTTACTTATACCCATTTCTTTTATTAAATATTTGTACTTAATATTGTTCTTCGTACAAACAGATTTTACTAAACATTGTTTACTTTTGTAAAGTAAATATGAAGCAAACAAAATGCTGATTTTGTAGTATCAATAAAAGTATTACTGATTTTTCTAGGTCAACCGATTTTTTTACCAAACACACAAACCACAAGTGTTCTAGATTTGTGACTGATATCAGTAAAAATTAAACTGTTTCTCTCTCCAAAGTTAAGATTTCCCTGCTAAACAAACAGCTTAGCTATGATTATTGTACAATTAAAAATATCTTTAGGTTGTAATTTTTCTAAATGGCTATACTTTAGATTTCAGAGTACTCACATATTTGGTATATGCGAAAACAGAAACCGTCCCGACAAAAGGAAAAGACAACAAAGCAGTCGCACCCGCCTTATCGTTCGCCCGGCTGAGAGGCTAAGGTCAAGGCCCTTTGATCACGTGTGCAACCCCAAGGTCAAACGGCAGATTAGGCACAACGGCACTAGACCAGAACCCACACTTCCAAATAATCCACGGAAGAAGGGCAAGGCCGTCGTAGTGGCTAATAGTAAAAGAACACACGATTTTAGGAGGACGGCCTCCACCAGGTAACCACTCGTGGGACGAGACACCGAAATTAGAAAAAAAAAAAGGGAACAAAAGGCACTTCACGCGGCCGCTGCGTCGCGTCGGAAAAGGCAGGACACCTAGGTAGGCAAGGCGCGTAGTGTCCGGAGGTATACGAGATCGTAGCCCCGCTGTAACCTGCAAGCTGGAGGTTTGTATACTGTTTGAAAAGAAGGCAATCCCGTCTACTACCGCCGGTTGAGAGATGTTTTATACCGGCGGCGTATTACCAAAGCCGACTTGTTTCTCAAAGCCGCAGGTGACTCAGGGCCGGACCCCAGCGAACTTTCATTCCGACAAGTTTCCAACTGCTGCCGATACAGACAAATTCAAGGAAAATAAAGCTTACAACACACTATTATGTTTTGATGCTTTAAATGCATTTCAATAAAAATACATCGCTGAAAAAATTCAGTACCGTTCCGATTTTACCCAAAAGAAAATGTTAGGTACTTGCCGTGTACCGATTTAAAAAAACATACATTAATACTAATAAGCTCTCACGTTTTTTTATTCTATTTTAAAAGTACTAAGATAACTCAAACAAATTTAAAAAAATATACATATTTTGAAGAATGTTTTCAAAGTCAAATAATGTTCTTCGATATCAGAAATCTATTAATAAAAAAGATATCCAACTCTATAGACAAGACTGCTAACTGCTGATATTACAGAAAACAACTACTCTATGGGCTATACGCCCCAACTAGTTTTGAAATCCACCATGCTAGTACCGAGGCAAAATAAATACTACAAATAATATGTCTAAATGTAGTTCACACCAAAACATATTGAAATTGTTGAATAAAGCAATCATCTCGGCAATCATTCAAAGATACAATAATTGTAGCAGTTGTTCAAAGATTAATAGGTAATTCTTGAAGTTGAGAGTTAAAAATCTTTCTTTGATCTTTTTATTATAACTTTTTTGATTTTGATTACATCTTGGCAATTTTTTGGTCGTAAAATTATTAATTTAATATATGTACACATAATTTGTGAATAGTTGGGAGATTTAATCTTTTTTCAGAACAATCAAATTATTAAATTAAATCTAAAAATGCTGCTAAATTTCGGTGCGGCGAAATTTCGGATTATGGCTACTTCCGTGTAAAACAAAGAAAAGCAGTAAAAATACAAAAATAAATTATTTTCGGGGATAATTTTTAATCAACTGAACTAAATTATGATTTTAATCATGAGACTTTCTTATTTAAATTATAATTTAAATCAAGTCATAAAATCCAGGATGATCGATGGTTGGTCACCATTACAGAGAAAATGGAAATGCAAATAGGAAACCACAAGCGGGAACCTTTATGACATGTTCAAAGTATATGACTTAAAATTCCATCTCGGTAAGTTTACCACCCTAAGAGCTGTGACGTCATACCAAAGTTCTCATTTTTCTCTACAACTTATTAAAACAGTTTTCCGACATATCGTCCCACTCAAAAAATATAAAATGATATGCCCGTACAAAGAAAATCACTGGTTCGATAAAGTCTGTTATAGTCTTTCCGATCTCATTTGAAGAACCAAAAGGTTGGCAATATGTACCAGGTTCGGTCGTTGACGCAGCAATTTGCCATTGAAATATTTGAAAAACTTGTTCCCATATTTACTTAGACATACCCATATACCAGCCTGGTCACCCAGTTGAAGAATGAGCTCGCGGGCAAACGCGGCACAAACACAGCCGCACTGGTCGACCTGGCCATAAATTCAGTTGTCGACAAATGGCCTATCAGTGCAGTGCAGGTGTGATTCAGGTAATTTTAATTTATTATAGGCACCTTCTATTAATCATTCATATTACAATCGCGAAAGGGAAAAAGGATATTTTGTTTACTAATATTATTACAACATGGCACTTTGGAGACCTTTTGAAACGGAGCAAAACGAAATTTACCATCGATATAATATAATTTTTTGAGGACAAATATTTAAAATGTTGTTGGTGAAATGAACATATAATATAAGTAATAGAAATTTTCTACACATTATATACAAATTATTATAATTTTTTACCTTTAGCAGAAACTTTTTTAGGGACGCTAATGAAACTCATTACATTTTAGAGCTAGGCTTTTTTATACATGTTCAACTGACTTCGGAAAGACTATACATTACCAGCGTTAAATAAGATTATTTCGTGTTTATATTCATTACTGATTATTATTGATAAAAATATTTTGCCTCTATAAAACCATACTGCTAATATTGAATAGTTCCGAGCTTCTCAAAAAATCAGAACCGAGTATAAATGCAAATTTTCAAAAAAAAGATACAATATGATAAGTAGTAATGAATATAAACACAGTAATGCTAACAAAATAAGTACAGACTTGATCTGCTGGTGTTTAATTTCATTAGATATATCGTCTTATCGCTTTTGGAAGGAAACACATATCCAAAAAACTTTTTTAATAAAATGATTAAAAAAATATTTATGAAAAAATAATTTCGATGACATCGCAGCACAGCACAGATAAATTTACCAAATGAAATTTTAAATAAAATACTAATTTAATATTATAAAGGCTTGTGCCCTTTTTCAGTACTTAAACATTTTAGATGCAACGGAGTAGATACTTATTTGTGGCACATTTTTAGTTTTTTCTTATTTATTTGTAAAAAAAATATGAAATATACCCTCTCGCCAAAAGGATCAGTAAAGAATTAGTTTTAAATTAGTTTTGCTTTAGAATATAAGGTATTTTATATTCTAAGAATTTTGCCTAACAAAAAATCTCACACTGAAAAAAGCATTCAAATAAAAAATAAACATTATATAACGTACTTACTTCAGTAAGTTGTTAACGTTTCGAAATTCAATATCTTCATTTTCAGAACTGAGAATGTTGTTTTTAATTGGGTTTTTAATGGTTTTAATCGATCAAAGCCAATTAAAAACAAAATATCATTCTTATTTATAACAGCGATAAGAGATTGATTTTTGAAACGTTAGTGGCTGTATATTTTTTGACTTGTCTATGTGAGATTTTTGATTAGGCAAAACTAATGTCATGAATATAGCCCTTAATTGATCCTTTTGGCGCAAAGAAATACATATTTCATTAATTTTAATTTTTTTTAACATAACAAAAAAAGTTGAAAACACTATATACACTAAACCTGAGAAAGCTACAGCATATAAGTAGTACTTAGTAGTTAAGTGATTCTTTTGAGATTTATACTAGTCATTAAAAAAGTCTTCATCAAACACCGCATTACTGAAAGGTATAGATCTTTTACTAGTAGTTATTTTATTACACTCTGTATGTGACAAAAATCTATGCTTTGTTTACTCGTTTGTTTAATATTCCACATATTTTAAATATATTTCATTAACACAGTGCTGTGATGACACATTATTTATAACTAGTAAAAAATTAAACGTAAATCGATATGAACACAGAATAAATTTTATTCAAGTTCGATAAAAGTCATTGCAATAGCATTGTAAAAAAATTGTTGTATTACTGTGAAGTTTAATAGACAACTTGACATAATGATCACCTTTTTGTAATATTTAAACATTTTAGAAAAACCTGATACACTTACTTTCCTGGTTAAACTAAAATCATGTAATTCAGTATGCCTACAAACTGTGCTTTACTTACTTTTTCACGAGCTTTTTCATTAATAATTTAAGTGAATCCCCGATCTTCAAGAACAAAATTTCAAATAAATGCAAACTAGGCAGGTACTCGAGAAAAAATAACGGATGTATCATCATGAAACATCACAATGTACAATAAGTTATGGACGTCAAGGGGAAAAACGAATAGAATTTTTACAACTCATTAAAAATAAGACTGATTAGGAACAATTAACAATAATTTTTATCATGACATGATCTTAACTTTGATATACTGCTGCTATTTGACAAACTTGGCTTGAATACACTAAAATGAGCTCAGTTCTTTAAAAAAATATCCAAGTATTTTTATGACACCTGTATTACCTAAGTAGATACCTAATATAATGGTCGAATACAAGTTTTAAAATACTTCAATGCACCCGACAAGCTCGAGAAACTTGGCAATGCTCGCGTAAGCAACGTCAGACGCCAAGCAGCTGTTATTTACAAAAGCCCGTCTATTTGGGGTTCCGCGGGGTGCTTGAACGTCCTTGGGCCGGCCCTGTCACGTCACGTGACAGTCCAAGGCGCGACCTTCAAGCTGTGTACAGTACACTCGCCATACCTGTCACTTATAAGGTTTTTCAAATAGGCAGTGCGAGAGAGACAGGCTGCTTAGGTGAATGACTGTACTTATATATGCTTACCTTGGGCCAAAATCACAAAATACCTTCTATTTTATAATTAACATTTAAACGGGAATTCAAATGCAGTTCCGCTAATAAAAAACCGCATACCTTACTACTATTTGCATATTCAATACAACATACCGTTCTTATCGTTGTCGATTTGTCATCCCTTCAATATTTTTAAGCAAAACACCACCAGATACCGAAATCAGCGAATCGATTGAGAAACAAAATGCACATTAAGTAATATCAATTTTCACTTTCACGACGTCCATTTAGTTTAGTTATTCATGGCACTCCTCGCGAGAGTTTATTGACTTCGGCTCAGGTAAAACCATTGCCGATTGCTGCAACCAATTTTTATACACTTGCACATTTAATTACACTATAACAGGACTTTTGTCTCATATCTACGACGTTCGCGGCTGTGCTCTACTTATTTTCGTGCATAAATATTGTCAAAACCACCTATTAATATCTGCGAATGTTACGTTTATTCCGAATCAAAAAAGAATATAAAAAATAGTCGGTTCACAATCGTACCGTCTGTAAAAACAATGGAAATTAAAAATTGGTCCCCGACGACACCTGGCTACAAAAGGTGGAACTATCGAATTCCCCGCCTTCATTCAAATCGCTGCGTACAGGCTCAGACTAGACATACGCTGCATTAAAATAAGAATTTTATACCCTCCCAATCTATACATTATGAATGAATTTAAATACAAGTTCTGACCAAAAACTTTAAATTTTATTAAATTAAATAATATTATCTGTCCTTTTTTACGCCTTTTAAGTATATAAAAATATATAATTAGTTATTTCCATTGATTTTATAAGCTGGTTCTTTATATCTAATATCTGTGGTTATCATTGATTTTATAAGATCCAACATTCCAAAGTAAGTATTTATTTCCTCCGTTTCATGTTCATATACCAACAAATGCAAATAATATTTTTTCCAAAAGAACGATCAACGTACCACAAATCTATAATAGTTTTATTCCTACAGTACAGTAATCCAAAACTGTTTCCAACAGTCAGACGCATGCGCATTCCGATATAATGGTTACATTAAATTCTCTCTGGTTTGGAATCAAAGGCGCTGACTGTAGGAAGTTGTTTCTAATAATTCTAATGCACTAGGAACAAAGCTAAAAATCTGTGTATGTATATTCCAGTGGTTCCGTCTAATTACTGGAACGCAAACACCAAATCATCTCGTTTTGATTCTGAAACTTCAATTTCAATTCATTTCTTTTGTTGCACGTTTGTTTACTGATAATAAAAAAAATAATAATATATTTGATACCAAAATCATGTAATGCAAGAACAAAAAATAAAAAGAAAAAGCTTACTTTCCATAGAAATCTAAGTATGTGAGCAACGTTAGTACTATATTTTCTATGGTATGTGAGCCCGATAGAGATGGGTAGTATCCGTATGATTCGTATAAACGATACGAATCTTTGTTGGGAGTCAGATGATACGACTCTCAAATGGAACGAAACTTTCGTATTTCGTACTCGTACTGGATACTAGAACTAGACAGCTGGTAATGCAAAGACTCCGTACGCAGGTGCGCAGTGTGCTAGTATTAAATACGGTATGGTACGCGTACGGTACGATAAGTACGGGTTAAGAGCTAAGAAGGATTCCGTTATGTTCAAATCTCGTATTATTTAACACAAGCTTCACGTTTAAAATTCGTACAGGCGATTCGGTGCGCGCGCTCGTCAGTTATCGTTCACGTTCACGATATAATTATATCGAAAAGGCTCTTAAGGGCCCCATATTCTTTAAATAGTGTTTTCCGCAAAGACAAATAATTTAAGACAAACATTTAATAACTGAATAATCTAAAGCTTATCAAATAATAGGAATGTTATGTCATGCCACCTGAGTATTTTCAAAGACGCCGGCCGCAGTAAAACGAATAAACAGGTGCAAAAAACGATCAAACCATTAAGGTTTTAGGTACTGAAATCTACGAAAATACTATCTTTTTTATATATAATTCCACATGTAAATATTCTTATAACATTTACTTGCTTAGTCCTACTTATAAAAAGTAAACAATTTTATATGTAGGACTAAGCAAGTAAATGTTATAAGAATATTTACATGTGGAATTATATATAAAAATACAAACGCTTTTTTTTAGTTATTATTTTATTTGAGTAAATTTAAATGGTAACAATGAATAAACAAAACATCAAGGATTTTATTTTTGTGCTTACTTTTGTTCTACACGTTTTACTTTTAAAGATTTCAGTACCTAAAAACGCCAGAAATTTCACTATTTCTCGGCCAGGAATATGGCCACCTTAAATAATCCTTCCTAGAATAACAGAAGAACACTATCCAATACGAACACGAACCTCTGTTGCGTTGTAGCTACATCGGTCCCATCAGAGAGAATTTTTTCAAAATGTGGGCAAACTATTAATGAAAGACGTACCAGGTTAAGTCGAAATAAGTTTCACAGTTATTATTTATAAATTTTAACTCTAATTATGTTAATATTTCAAAATTGTTTTTATTATCCGGTATACCTATATGCTTTACAATTTTTATTAAGAAAGTACCAAAGATTTAGTTCTTTTTTTAATTTTTTATTTATTTATTTTAAATAACATAAATATTTATTTTTAGTAGAAAATATTTTTTAGTTAAACATTTCTTGTATATTTTATATATTAAAATAAAAAACATTTTATAACTTTACTGTTGTTTATACCGGAAAGTTACTAATTTTTATACTTTTATCACACTAAACGAGAAATGGGAGCTAAGACCAGTAAACCAGTTTGCGTATGCTTGCGTATCTTATTATTCGTATTTGTATTTTGTATCAGTGACACGGTGTATCACGCACTTGTACAGCCCAGGAGTAGTGATACGAAACATACGAATCTTTCAGTACGACTCCCCATTCTTAATGGAGTCGTATGATACGAATCTCCGAAAAGAGTCGTTTTGCCCATCTCTAGAGCCCGAGCAGTAAACGCCAAAAAAGAAAAGTAGAGTACTGCGATGTCTCACTCTTCTTTGCACTGTAGAGCAAAAAAGAATTACACTGGAGCAAACTGGAGTGAACCAACTGATACAACAGAAAGAAGTTTTGTTTCAAAACGTACCCCAACTAAATTTTAATGACATTATCGACGTTTGACATTTGACACTTGACGTGTTGTCAAAGTCAAATATAACAAATATTCCTTAACAAAATGCAGCAAACCACAGTTAATTAATTAGTGAAAATTATATTATCATATTTAATCAACTAAAAGGTAAGAAATTATTTTAACGTGGAAAATTAAATAAAAGTTGCAGCTATGAGTCATTCTAGTCAATATTAGCTTAAATTTGATAAATTCTTATTGTTTGTAATAGGGGGAAAAACTTTTTATTATGTGATCTGCAAGTAATCTCAAAACTTCTACGAGTCGACTGAAAAACAACATGAGGTCTGCACACAAAAATACTTTATTAAAAGTAGTGATTTTGGGTGATGGGGGAGTTGGAAAGAGTTGTTTAATGAACAGATTTGTCTCAAATCAATTCGATGAACATTCCTTTCACACAATAGGAGTTGAGTTCCTGAACAAAGATATTGATATTGATGGAGATACCTACACTTTACAAGTTAGTATATTTTTAACAACAAAAACAAAATGTATAATATATGCATATATTCGACACACCACATCTTGGCCTTGTAGAATTTATCTCACATGTCACATTTAATCAGAAAGCACTTAAAAAGTACAATAGAAATTACGCACAATATAAGCTATTTTTATCAATTCAAATTTTTAGATATGGGATACAGCAGGCCAAGAAAGATTCAAGACATTGAGGACGCCTTTTTATAGGGGTAGCGATATTTGCATGTTGACATACGCTGTCGACGATAAATCAAGTTTTAAGAATGTAGAAATGTGGCAAAATGAGTTCTTGTATTACGCAGATGTGAAGGATTCCAGCCAATTTCCATTTGTCTGCATTGGAAATAAAGTGAGTTTTCCACTTTCCACACAATGGGTTACTTTCGTAATAAATTAAATTCTTAATATGTAGGCTGTCCTACAAGGATGTGCACGAACTTTAACAGGAATTCCTTATTTAAAAATAACTTTTTAAACCTAGGTTTGGAAATACACCATTTCCGAGATATAGGCCTTTTGTTTTCGATTAAAAAAATTTTATTTTTATATTTCAAGAACGAATATAAAACTTTACAAAATTTGTTACGGTAATGCCTAAGTACTTACAGAACAATATCATATATTTTAATTACCAGGGCCTTAGATTTGAGGGTTTATCCCCTTTGGTAGTGTAACTTCCATCATGGCTTTTTATTAATTAAATTTTACTTTGTCAAAACAACAAATTTATTAAAAAAACATTTATTTTTTTATTTTATTAAATCTAGGTGTAAATTGCATAATAATGATTTTATGCACTTTCTTTTGGTTTTACAATAGAAACACCAGTTTATCCAAAAGATTTTAAATTAGTATTTTAATAGAAAGAAATCACTACCTGTAATAAGTCTGTTTTCATTTAAAAAAGCCATTTACCTACCTTCATCAGAGCTTATTTTTTAGTCCGACGTCCCGTCGGAAGAGCGAGAAGTGTCCCAACTGGAAATGGAAACCTGGTGCAATGAAAATTCGATAACCTCTTGCATAGAAACCTCGGCGAAAAATGCGAGTAACGTGCAAGAGGCGTTTAAGATGGCCGTGCAACAGTGGTTGAGGCTTGAGTCCAGAGCCGACAGAACGGAACCCCTTATTAACGATACCGTGGATTTGACCAAGAAGCAATCCGAAAACCGGACATCGTGCTGTATAGGAGCTACGGACGAATAAGTACTTTGTTTATTTTTACCTGAAGTATTTTTTGTTTGTTATTTATTGACGCAATCTTTAATTCAGTGGAAATGTATTTTGCTTAAACCATCATTAAATTTATTTGGTTTGTGAAATATTTATTGATTGTGCACGAGTATACTGTTATCGTTTAAATACATATTTCTATGTGATTTATAAATAACGGGAGCAGCCTCGTAAAAATGCACATATCAGTGTTAATTAGTGGCTCCCTCTTTGATATTTTCCATTACCGAGCAACTTTTTTCAACCACAAAACAAATTTTACACAAATGTGATATCGTGATTTGATTTATGGGATGTAATTTTACAGCAATTAGCAGTATTCTTTTTACCAAAAACGACACTATTTATTTATTTTTTTAAATACTTTTATTCCCCTAAAATTTTGTGCATTGTTATTTTGTTAACTATGATTTATAATTTAGCGTAACTTTAAAACATTATAATGTAACAAACAGTAAAACTTATAACAAAATGCTAAAAATATTGCTCTAAACTTTGAATAACTATAAATTTGAACGCTTGGAATATTTTAGACGTTTTTTCTACATATATTTTTAATTATTTGTTGTTTTAATAGATTTTTACAAAAACATGATTAACATAGTGAAAGAAAAGACAATGATATTTTCGATTTATTTTTAAGGTTTTTTTCAATGATTTTTATATTATATAAAGCAGGGAAACTTAAAGATTCACAAAATAAATATCATCGTCCTCGTGTTGTACATTCCATATTTTTTTAAATTAAAAATGGTGCTACGATACAATTGAACAAATTTCACTTGAGCCCTGAAATGCGTAAGTCAAAAAGAGAGCACGCATGAACTAGAATTAGATGAAAGTGATCTTTACTAACTACTTTACCACTGCGCATCGTACCTCAGGGCTCGAATGAATTTGGTTTACCTGTAGATGCTTGTTATTTTTTTTAGGTAATAATTGTAGGACGTAATTATTAAATATTGATTTAAATGAACAAAGTTTATTGCATAGATATAGACTAAAAAATTACATTTTTTCTTAGTCTTGGTATAAATATTGGTGACTGGTAATGAAAGTATGTATTTAATAATTACGAATTATGTTAATTGAATTTAAAGATATCATGCTTTGAATAGTGATTTATGTTTTGAAAATACATAATCATTTTTACATAAAATTATATACAGGGTGTCACGCTTAAATATGATACAAGCCTGTAACTTTTTTATTTTTTGGCCTGTTTCAAAAAGTTTTATATGGGAATGTAGGGTAGAAAAAACTATCTAACTGTGATATTGCTGTTTTTATTAATGCAATTCACGGCCAACTAAGACTTGGACATTAAAACAGCTGATTGGTATTAGCAATTTTTTTTGGAAAAAAAATCGCTAATACCATTTAGCTGTTTTGACGTCAAAAAAACGCGTCCTAGTTGGCCGTGAATTGCGTTAATAAAAACAGCAGCATTATAGTTAGATAGTTTTTTTATCCTACATTCTAAAAAAATTTTTTTGTAATTGGTCAAAAATAAAGAAGCTGCAGGCTTGTATCACATTTAAGAGCGACACCCATACTTAACAGCAAAATAATTTTTATAAGAAATCCTTAAAAATTCTATTGATACTTAAAACAAAAATAAGGACTTACTATATATGAAATGAATTTAGATTTGTCTTTATTTTTAATTAGTTTTAACAGTATTTTTGACAGAATAACTTTTGGTTTGATATAACGCAAGTATAATTTCCAAAAAAGTAATAGATAGTACTGTAGGCAGATAAGTAGTCACAAACTGATAGAATAGACAATGTTCTTTAAAATCTAAATTTAGTAGCAAAAAATATATGTCTAAGATGTAAATTATTTTGAATTGGAAGCAAAGGGCTATTATATTTAAGTATGTTCCTTTATATTTGCTGCATCTTGAAAATTAATAACAGTTTCATTCGCAATTTATAGATTTTCTACTGATGCAAAACTGTAAGAATCACACAGCAGTCTACTTATTTGCAGTGGTGGCTGGCAAAAATTAAAGTGGTTATAACATACAGGGTGTTTCTAAATAAGTGTCGCAACGGAAAACTGTAAATTCCTCTTGAAAAAAGAAACATTATTTTCCTCTTCCATTTTTCTCTCCGGGCTTTCGTTTTCGAGGTACACGGTGTCAAAACTTTAATTTTTTCCAAATTTTTTGCCATTATCTTAGAAACCGTGTGAACTACAGGACTGAGTTTTTGTACACGCATTACCACTATTAATAGCTACTTTTTCGCACCCTTCTCGAATTCATTGAACGTGCCAGTGGTGGAGATTTTAAGGTATCGTAAGGGTTTTTTCCTTCTAACTTTTACGCCACTGGAAAAATTAACATTTGATAGCAAATTCTGAAGCGCCAATGAATTTTACACAAAAAGAGTTCTCTTAGTTCATTGCTCTAAAGTCAACCGTTTTCAAGAAAAATGACTTTTTATGAACAAAAACAAACATTTTGCTAACGTTTCGAAAATATTTTGTAATTTAAAAGTTGGGTAGTAATAATTTAGTAGTAAAAAATAGTAGTAAATAAGTAAAATAATAGTAAATAGTAGTAGTAAATAAGTAAAAATTTTAACGAAATTTAACAGCATTTGCAACAAGTAGCTATTAATAGTGGTAATGTGTGTATAAAAGCTCAGTCCTGTAGTTCAAACGATTTCTAAGATATTGGCAAAAATCTGAAAAAAAGCTTTGATACTGTGTATCCCGAAAATGAAAGCCTGGAGAGAAGAATGGAAGAGGAAAAAAATGTTCCTCTTTTCAAGAGGAATTCACAGTTTTCCGTTGCGACACTTATTTAGGGACACCCTGTATAGGAACTTTTCTGAGAAAAAAATTGCAGTATATTTTTTTGGCAATTAACTGATAGACACGAATAGGTGTATCCTAATTTTTCACAAAATTTTCATTTTTTGTTAAAATTATAAAATTTGAAAAATAAAATAGTACCAAAATTTAATTTTTGTGAAAAATTAAAAGCCACTTGATTGCATCAATTGGTTACGAAAACAATATTTTGCCCTAATTTTAACATTTTTCTTTGAAATTCTTTCAACATAAAAGTTTCTTATGTGAATATAGAAATCATCTAAAAACTAGTTCATTACCAAAATATGACCACATCTATTTTCACTGCCAGTCACCACTGCTATTTGCTTATTTGAATTCCAAAGACTAAAATAACATTTTACTCGGTATTTGAAGACAATTTTTTATATGATGAAAGTTACCATGAGCAAAAGGCGATATGCAAAATTATGTTTTTTTTCCCCAATCGTAACTGTAGCAACCTAATTTTAATCACATCAGATAGTCTGAGAGAATAATTTTCCTCCTATTAGTGATAGTATGTACGATCTATAATTTCAGATAATCAATGACATTTTCTATTTTCCACATTTATTGGTGCATCAAGCCCGTCATATTGGGTAAAACTTAAAAAGTACTGTATATTTTAATCTTTTTGCTGCCTTAATTCAAAAACTGTTTTTCACACGGCACGAGTAGTATTTTTGAATTGCGGCAACAATTTTAGGCGAACCATTTCATGTAGTTCCTCAAAAGTTGGCTTGTAGAAAAACAAACTGTAAATAGTAAGATATTTAGCTATGTTAGCTTTTGTACTGCAATGTGTCTTATTTAGAATAAATTGGATGTATATCTTTGAATATTTTTTATTTGCGTTGTTACCTTTTACCAGAAAAAAACTAACATGTCCTACAAATGTCGTTAGCACGTTTAACAACTTAACGTCTCAATGTGTTACAATAAATACAAAGAAAAGTATTTGACAGAAGTTATGGAAGTAGTTTTTGTGTTTTGATTACCGTCGATCAGATTTGAGGCAAAAGTTTGCAAAACTACTCCAAAAATGTCTGATTCTGAAGAAAGTTTACCCTCGCATATAGAGGGGGTTATAAACTAAGCGATTGCAAGTCTAATTCCTGAAATTCTTCAAAAAGCGACATTTTCAAAAGCCGTCAATGCTTTGGACACCCTGTCATGATTCTGTAAGGAAAAGTAAGATGACTGCAAGTTTTAGAGTTCATCAAATGATGAATTGTTTTTTCCTCTTAAAGTTAAATAATCTTATAAAACTATTTTTAGACTAACTGACCGTAAGATAAATGCAATTCTAATGGATGTACAGGCAAAATAAAAGTGCTAGGATATAGACACTAAACTTATATTACAGATATCAGTCATATGCTTACATTTTTCATATTCATATAAAAATTGGCCATACAATCAAACATATTCATCATTCTTCGTCTATTTTTTTTTTTAGTTTTAGTTTTACTACTCCAGGGTTATGATGAATTTGTAGAAAAAATACTAATTTTTATTTTACTCTAAAAATTTCTTTTTCTACCAGCCTAGAAATACTTTTTTTATTTAAGATGTAATTTTTAGTGGAGGCTGGTGAAAGTTACAATGATCATATTCCGATAAAGAACAAACTATACTTATTCTTTAGACATTATTTATATGCTCACAATATAGAGAATTTTTAACAAAAAATTTAAAATGACAAAAAAATTAAAACTGAGGTTGCCCCCTCCATGACTTCAAAAAAAGTGCACAAAAATGTGCAAGATGCATACTTTTTTATTTCATAATTAACTGATAGTTTCAATTTATACGTTTTTATTCACAAAATTCAATTTTCTTTGAAGTTACACCTATTTGAATTTTAATTTGATATACAGGGTGTTTATTAAGTATTTGTATAAAATTCAAAGGGTGAATCTTTGATTAATTTTAAGATTTGGTTCTTGAGATTGGGGGCCAAGAAAGTTTTGTTTGGTATTTTGATAATATTTTTGTTCAATACATGGCAAATTGACGAAATTCGGGGAACTGGTAGTGTTGACGAGAAACTCAAATATTTACTTCGTTTTTTCTTTTATGTTAGAAGGCGCCACATACAGTGTTGTACCTGGATTTAAATAACCATAATTTTTTTGTCGCACTGCATGTCAATTTTGACTAAACATACCTATTCTCCACTCAATTTTATGTACAAAAGATACTCTTAGTTTTTGTCGCTGAAAGCAGCCAGTCTGTAAAA